CATGCATTTGCTGTGTTCATATTTCATGACGCACAGGACTTGTGTAGTAACGATCGGTAGCCCGACTGTTCTCCGTCGAAGGGTTGTTCTGGCACCAGGCTTTTCTATGCCAGCTCTGGTCCGGTGCAGGGTTAGGGATATCGGTACCGGTGATTATTGTATAGTAGTGAGCAACTCCATGACACTTCCCCAAGTCCCCTGACAAATCTGAATATCTTCGCCCCACGCCGTTCCTCAGACCACGTTGTAAGAGTGAAAGAAGGGGTCAGAAACGTGCCATTTTCTGCAATATTCCTGCTTTGGAGTTTAGGTGGTTTTGTTTTGATTGGAGGGGAGAGGAGTGAGCAGGGGCGGGGCCGTGGGGAGGGGGAAGGGCCTTGGGGGAAGGGGGCAGAGCAGGGGTGTCCGGTTTTCATAAATTGGAAAGTTGGCAACCCTGTGAATTAAGCTCCCAGCCCATCCCAGCAGTCAGTCGGTATTCGGTCCATTTGTCAGATGGGGCCACCAGAGCGCAGAGGGTGCATAGCGGCAGATCCAGGAACAGGGCTCTGGCGTCATGACTCCCAGTCTCCTTTAACCACTCCCTCCCTACCCAGTCCAAGGCACTCAGGTGCCTCCCACCAAACCTGGGGAGCAGGTAAATCTGATTAGAAAGCACAAGGGGCAGGGAAGGGACTCACACAAGGTCACAAGCAGGGAATGGCAGAGCCAGACCAGACAACTGCTTTCCCTACTCCTCTCCTGCTCTGCCCTAAAGAAGCAACCTCCTTTTGGCCCGGGGCCATCTTCTTTCACCCATGGCCTGGGGCAAACAAAAAGCGCCGTGCCAGCCCGTGCTGTAGCCACCAGCATGACCCACCTCTGTTTCTTTCTCCCTTCCAGCTAGCCGCGGATGGGACCGTCATGAACACCTTCACCCACAAGTGCCAGCTGCCTGAAGACGTGAACCCCACTTCCGTCACCTCTGCCCTGGGCGTGGATGGCACCCTCACCGTCAAAGCCAGGCGGCACCCAGCCAAACACACAGAGCACGTCCAGCAGACCTTCCGGACTGAAATCAAAATCTGAGCGGCTGGCGCCGGGGGGCGGGGCGGGGTACGGGGAAGCAGCTGGCTTGAGATGCCCTAGAAACGAATCTTTAAAGAGCAGCGGGGGCTTCTTTCAAAGCTTCAACAAAAGCAAGGGCCATTGGGCCAAATTCTGATCCCAGTTACACCAGCATAGGGGCAAAGTCCTGGTCCCACTGAAGTCACCGGGGGCCAGATCCTGAGCTGCTGTCCAGCAGTCTGACCCCATTGACTTCATTTGCCTGCAGCGAAGTCACATTTCCCCCAGCTCAGGAGCTGGCCCCGCGAGTTTTGCCGTTGACTTCCAGTTGGCCCCTACGCCTGACTTTGATGAGAGAATGATTTAGCCCCACTTAGGAGTTTTGCCATGAACTTCAGTGAGAGCAGGATTTGGCCCTGGTGCTTCTGGATTTACACCAGCATCACTGAGATCAGGATCTGGCCCCATGGGCTTGTGCTGATGTGACAGGGAGGAAAATTTAGCCCCCAGTGTGTAACCTTGAACTCTTGTCCCGATGGGACCCAAACTCCTCCCAGGCTAGTAGGTGTAGCAGGTTGTCCCACCCTAGGGAAGTAGGGAGTGGGGTCCTGAGCTGACCCAGGTCCTAGTCCTCGGGAGGTTCAAATAACCATCTCTGTATAGGGAGATCCAGGCAGACCATTTTGGGCTAACATTTTATTCATTTATCAGACTAAATTCACTGGGCCTGATTCTTCTCTGACCCTAGTTTTACACCGCTGTAGCCCCACTGAATGGAGTTACTCCTGATCTACACCGGTGTGAGAGGAGACTCGAGAGCACTGACTTCAGCGGAGCTTACCCCAGGGATGGATTTGGCCTAGTGAGAAGAACTCGCCAGTTTCATCCCTCGGACTGAGCTCTACCTGAGAGAGATGGGAGCAGAAGTGTTTCTGGGCTTGAGATTTCTCCACGTTTCCCAGGAGACATCAGCTGCTCTTTAAGTGGAAATCCACTGGGAGGGGTGATAAGAAGGAAGTCCCGGAGCAGCAGAGCTGTGCAGCAGGGGATGGGGGTAGAAGGGGAGAAGGAAATTACATGATATCAGCATCAGGCTCTGTTGCTCCCCCTCCTGTTTGGTTTGTAAGACACAAGATAAGACCAGCCAACAGTTGAGTCCCTGGCAGAGTTTTAGACACAGGGTCACCACATTCATCTCTGATGTAAACCAGGGGAACTCCCTTGGGAATCAATGTATTTGGCCCTGGAGGTTCTTTCATAGAACTATTACAATTCAATTCCACGCACAAATTTTGCACGGCGAGAAAGTCGGAGCTTGTGGGTGAGAGCTAAATTGCTGGTGGGACTCTTGCTGAACAAAGACCTTGGTCATTCTTGGGGCAGTGTTCCCTCTGGTGGGGAGGGGGAAAGACCTACTCAAGCATGGGGGGGTGTCCCCAACCGTACCCTCAGATCCAAACACTCCTGAATTCTGGCGATGCTCAAATCCAAATCTGAAGTCTGGGTCAGTCCTATCTCTTATATAGAATTTTACAGACACCAATCAAGCCTCACTACAGCCCTGAGAGTTCAGTAAGTAGCACTGTGTTCAGGTGCCAGGCTTTAAGACCCTGTATTTAAGATGCACAGAGGTATTTTGCTGACTCACCATGGCAGCCAGAACAGGTGGGTCTCATTAGATACAGTTCAGGACTATAAAAAGCTCCAAGAAAACTAGAGGCAGGAGGGAATCTGTAGGAACAGCTTGAGGGGGAGTCTGGGTTATGATTTATTTATATTTGTAAGTACAAGTGCTGCCTCAGGAATTGAGGGGCAAATCCCAGGAGGGTGAGTCTGACCAGAACCAGTAGTGTGAGTGCTGGGAGGGGATCATTCCTGTTTATACAGCCATTAATCCCGTTTCTCAAGGCACAAGAATCAGAGCCAGGAACAGAACCTAGGAGCACCAGACAGCGGCCCCAGTGCCTAGCAATGGACTCAGGGTAACCGAAGGAGTCCAACGTGGAGCATGTGTACAGAGGATGGAGAAGAGAGAGGGGCAGGGACAGACCCATGGAAGGGGACACAATTTGGCAGAGTCTAGGTTTGACAGCTCTAAATCCAATTGCAGCCAGGTCCCCACACAAAAGGCCGGGAGGGCTGGAGGAGCCCACGGGATCAGCTGAGCCCTGGTTCCTCTTCCTCCCAGTGGGCCTGTGTCAAGCGTGATCCAGATACACACTGAATAAAGGGCTGGAGCCGATCACACATGGCTACACCTGCCATGGGGGGATAAGGGGGCGAGGGAGGGGCTGCATTTCCCATTGACCCTACGCTGGAGTTATTCTGTATATAGATTGGTTTGGTTTGTTATAAATGATTGGTAACTCCTGACTGCCGCTTCCTCTTGGTTCATTGCTGTTGCTACTGTCTGTCCCCGGAGAGCCTGCGGAACGGGGCAGAGCCGTGACACCCCCAGTGACTGCCATCGCAGCTTCTCCCTGGCTCCTCTCCGCTCGGCCACCCCGTGCTGGGGAGCGGCCCCCCGCCGTTCTCACACGCTGCGCTGGAAGCGTTTTCCCGTCAATCCATCCGTTCTCAGGACAGAGGCGTCCGGGTCTCCCTATCACCAAGGCACAGCTGGGCCCCTTCTCACCGTTGCTCTGTGAGCCACATGCAAGGAGTGCGGGAAGCCTCCATCACAAACGCCCACCTGGGCACCCTCGACAGAGGGATCGGAGATCGAATGGGACATTGAGACAGAACGTGGGGTCCTTGCAGGTCAGGACTGCTGCCCCCCATCAGAGCAGGGACGCTGCACTGCCATTGCCTGTCCCTGTTCTGGTCCGGCTCCAGAGCTGTCAAGCCTACATTCATTGATGGTTAAATACCCTCTTTTCCCACATACCTGGGCGTTCCTGCCAGGCAGCTGGAGGGCCCTGTTAGGAGTCAAAGTCCACCAGCAGTCAGGGCTGGCTCTCCAGCTGGCTTGGTTTGGGCTGACAGACCCCTGTGCTTGCAGTGATGCCACACGCTCCTGGGCAGTTGGGGGCAATAGTACAGGGATCTGGCCGGCCCATACGGAGGGTCAGGGGGTCGTCACTGGCGGATTAGCTTGTTCCTTACAATCCCCTTGAGATGACCCCTGGCTCGGGGCTCTCATTACCATCACCAGGAGCTGGGGAATCCCAGGGAGGTTGGGGCTGATGATGGCCACAGAGCTGGACAAGTCTGGCCTGCACCTTGACAGAACCACCTTTGCCAGCGGTACCCCAGCGCCAGCCTCCACCCTCACGGCACGTACAGTGTCCGGCCAGCTCGCCAGCGACCCACAGAGCCCCTAGATCACGGCACTGGACTCGCCCGTGGAGTCCAAGGCTGAGCTTTATGGACAAAGCCTGGACTGCCTGGGCATCCAGCCAGCACCCCCTAAAGTCTCCAAGTCTTGTCCTGCCTGCACTGAGCACACGCCCCTGCACACGCCCCTCACACAGCGTGCACACCCTGCACACGCCCCTCACACAGCGTGCACACCTTGCACACGCATGCCCCATACACTGCCTACGCACACGCTCCTGCACACGCCCCTCACACAGCGTGCACACCCTGCACACGCCCCTCACACAGCGTGCACACCCTGCACACGCC